TTTATATTAATTATATGTATTTCGTTATCATAACCATTCTTGTAGTGTTTTATGTAATACGTAGTTGCTGACACGTGAACTTTTTTTCTTTCTATCTTTAATATTTATTTCTCAATTGTAGACTGAAATGGAAAAAATAACAAATTTATCCATTGAAGATTTAGGAATAAAAATCGAGGAAATAACAGATGAGGAGACACGAAAAAAATTTGAAGGTTAGTATATTTGTATTTTTTTTACGTTTTTTTAACAAACATATTTAAAAATATAAAGCATCAAATAGCAAAATTGTACATTTTATTATATATTTATTGTTACATCTCGGAATGCCATCTCAGACTTTATTCCTTTTGCAAATTATCTATACGACTGTCACATTCCAAAAATATATATTTATATTTAAAAATTGATTAAATGTCATCTCTCTTTTTTTATATATTTATCATTTCTATTTTGCAAAGTACATTTCTTGATAATAATTATAAAATAATCATTTTTAAATAATGTTTATTAATATTACAGATGCGTAAAAATTTCATTAAAATATATCAGCAATGGAGCCTTTGAAATGTTTTATGTGTCGTAATACTGTAAAAGGAGGGTTAAATGGTTTGGCATGACATTTTACAATAGTACATGGTTTGACACTTAAACGCGGAATAGACAAAATTGGGTTTCAATGTGGTCAAAAAGATTGTTATCGAAAATTTCTTCATTCTTACTCTTTAAGAGATCATATAAGAAAAATTCATTTTTCTCGAAAAGAAAATTATGACTTTTCTGTAGAAAATACAGTATCCACTTCTTCGTATAATGATATAATTATTAATGAAAATGATGCAAACAAAATATCTGAAAATTCAAATAATGTAGAGGTTTTAAAAATTTGTGACAATTTTAATTTAAGAGATTCTTTAATAAGTCTAATAATTAGATTACAATCAAAAGTATCAATGACCGGAAGCATTATAACTGATATTCTTGATGAATATGAACAAATAACAAATAATTTATGTGTATCATTAAAAACTAAAATTAAACAATTTTTACAATCTAAAGAAATGCTTAATGACCCTGATGTTATTAATTTGTTAAATTCTTTTGAAATAGATAAATCTTTTGAAGGTTTAAGAACACTTGAACAACAAATGGAAGTTTTAGCAAGTAGTACAGAATATATCAAGCCTCAGGAAATACCTTTGGGTAAACGTATAGAAAATGTAATTGATAAAAAAACAGGCACTTCTGTATCAAAAACAATTCTTGAAACTTGTCAATATGTTTCTATAATAGATTCTTTAACAATGGTGCTTAGAAATAAAGACATACGCGCTGTAATAGAAGCAGAGAAAGAATCAAATGATGGCATTCTTGCATCTTTTATTGATGGGCAGCACTTTAAAACTCATCCTTTTTTTCAGAAGTACAAACATGCCATTAGAATCCAACTTTATTATGATGAACTGGAAATTGTCAATCCACTTGGCTCTAAGACTGGCATTCACAAATTAGGAGTCTTTTATTATATAATACAGAATCTTCTACCTCACATGAATTCTGAAACAAGCAGTATTCACGTTTTGCTTCTTTGTTGTCATGTTGACATAAAAAAATATAAAATGAAAAAAATATTAAGTCCTTTCTTAGAAGATCTTGTAAAATTAGAAAGTAATGAAGGAGTTGTTATACTTTTAGAAGGACAAGAATATATTTTGCGTGCATCATTGACTGCATTTTGTGGGGATGGATTAGCTGTCCATGAAGTATTTAATTTGCTAGGTCCATCTTCTAATTTCTTTTGTCGAATGTGTCTTTATACTAGGCAAGATTTGCATAATGGTAGCATAGAAATTAAACAATCAAGAAATATGGCAGTTTACAATAAACACTTAAATTTACTGCATAATGCAAACTATAGCGATAATGCTAAAACGTTAACAGGAATGCATGGAGAGCGTTGCTTACATTTATCTCGTTTCTTTCATATATGTAAAAACCTTATTTTTGATCCAATGCATGATATTCTTTGTGGTATTGGGCCAATGATACTAAAGTTAGTTTTACTTCGTTATACTTTGGAATTGAAATTGTTTCATATAGATGATTTTAACAACAGAATAGCATCATTTCAATATGGTTTTGTTGAAAGAAAGAATAAGCCTTCAGCAAATTTCAATGAAAGAATATTGCGTGTAAAAGGGCATACTTTAAATCAAAAAGCTATGCAAATATGGTGTCTTCTTCGCGTTTTCCCTTTCTTAATTTCTGAGTGGGTCTTGACAGGAGAAGAACACCTACAACTGATTCTCCTTTTGCTAAGAATTATGGAAATCGTGTTTGCGCCAAAAGTTACAGTTTCTCTTATGTCTTATTTGAGAGCCCTCATCACAGATTTTTTGGAAACATTCAAACAACTTTTCCCTGATGTACATATGATAAATAAATTCCATCATTTAACTCATTACCCAGATTGTATGTTGTGGTCAGGACCTCTTCAATTGTACAACTGTATGCGTTATGAAGCCAAACATAATGAAATCAAACTAAGAGCACAAAATGTTCATAATTTTAAAAATCCACCGAAAACATTAATAAGAATTGTTCAATGCTCTCAAAGTGCTAGATGGGGAAAAGGAAATGCCACAATTATTCGAGTTGAACCATTAAATGGAGAAACAGTTACAGTGCAAAATTGCCAAAGTCGTACATATTTACATGATCTAGGATATGTTGATACTGATTCTATATTTACCACTAATGCTATAAAAATAAATGGTGTAGAATTTCGACTTAATTTATTAGTATGTCTTAAAATTGATAAACAAAACGGAAAAAATTTACCTCTTTTTGGATGTATTAAAGAAATTTTAATGTTGAATAAAAATGAAGTATACTTTTTGACCACATTATATAAAACTCATTTATTTGATACTGATTTTAATGCCTACCATGTCGATTGGGAAATTCATAACATTTTACAGCTTTTTGTGAATTGTCTTAGTCTTGCATATTACAAATCATTGTCTATCTGGTCAGAACCAACATCCAATAATTTTTATGTTAGTCTCCGTCACATTTTATTGTGATGGAAATGGAGTTTTTTGCATCATTTTAGCAAAAAATGTAAGATTTATTTTATTAGTCTTTAAATATACGTTCAAATCATGATTCAATTTTCATATCTTATTATGTATCACATTGAATTTTATATTAAGTAACTTGTAATTTTTCAATACATTTTTTAATAGAGAGTCTTAAATTATTTTTTGTACAACTCGATATTGATCTTTATGTTATGCATTTCTTCTATTGTGATTTTTCGATATTTTGTGCTAGGAAAATATGAACGATAATTCTTAATATTTTACTATTACTATTACAGTTGTTGTTTTTATGAATACATTACAATTTTTGTTTATCTTTAGATGAAAAAATCGAAGGCTCCTCTTTCTTTTTACTCAATGCACAGGACTTAAATGATATGAAAATAAAGAAAGGACCAGCAAAAAAAATTTTTAAATTTCTTGAGGAATGTTCTCAAACTTCTTCTGGGGTAATGTTTTACTTACTAATAAAGTAATGTTTTATATAATTTTTCCGACATTATTTTTCTTTTTTTCTTTTTAGGTTGCTAAATGTGTAGAACAACTATTAGATACAAAAGAACAAATAGAAATTGTTGGAGAAACAAGAGAAATTATTTTAGCTGCAAATATTAATTCTCCAAATTGGACAACAATTGCTGAAGCTGAAATACCATCTACCAGCAACAACACTGCTTTAGTTACAACTGCGACTTCTAATGAAGAAATATTGTTCGCGAGCGGATCCGGCAAGAGATTGCGCGAACGTGGAGGATAGGCCAGTGCAGTGAAACTCGTGATATTCACACAAAACGACAGTTTATTAGAGTTCAACGTGACAAGTGTACAGTACAACGAGCGGTGCGACAAGCGAAGCGGTTAAACTCGCGGGAGATCGCGAGCGGCGTGATAGATCGAGCGTGCGGAAAATCAAAGTCCGAGAAGAATAGCGGTTGACGTATAATATTTTGCGGTTTAACTGAGCGGTAAGATTAAGCGGTATAGAAAGCGAAAAGTGCGAGACTTCGCCGTGCCCTCTCGCTGGGCTCGTTATATACCGGGCGGATTTTGGGCCCCGTTGCGACGTGGCCCAATTAACTTTGAAATTTGGCGGTGACCTCATGGCGCCACGCATAATTGGCCGCCGATGAGGTCAGGAAACAGCGTTGTGGCGTTTGCCATGCGCACGACCTTTTTCGATCAGCTGATTGGCCATCAGCTGATCGTGACGTATGGGCGCGCATGCCCGTATGTTGTTTTAGTTTGACGGCGGTTGACAATGTTATTGTCAATCGCTCAATTTCAAGCGTTTTTATGCGGTACAAAAACGAGCGGTGACTCGAACGTTCGAGTTCTTGTTTACCGAACGAAAGCTCGAGAAAGTTCTCGACGCCCGTTAGATTTGAAATACGGATTTTAGCAACGCGAAATTTTACATGAGATAATCGATTACGCATTTCGAACATCCCGCCCGCCTCGTCAGCGCGTGACGAAATTCGCGAGTATGAACGGGGGCGGACAGATGTCGCGAGCGGTTCAGTTGGCGGTGTCTGGATCGCGATCGATGAATGGAATGTGTGACGCAATACGATAACACGTGTTGATCAGTTGATTTCTATCTTTCGCGAGACTAAGAGTTGCGGTAGTGAAATACGGTGATATTTACAGTGAAATAATGAGAAGTAGTGCGATGTGAAGTGCAATGATTAATGGAGATCAATTGTGCATCGCTCGGGGATGCACAATGTACAGTGAGTGGGTGACTAGTGATGTGCGAATGAGGAAATCGCGGCGAGAACGCGAGATGGACGACGGACAGCTGTAATAAAAAAAAATATATACACGATATATACAATATGTACAATGTAGTGAGGCGCGCAAGACTCTACGCAACGCGGGGAGAATAGTGCCCGAGCATTATTCGTCTACGGACGCGCGAGCCTCCTTGACTCCCGGTAAAAGGACGAGTTTTACGACTGGCCGAACGAGATCCGAGGTAGAGGTGCGGACAGTCACAACGCGGACCGTGCCATCGCTTCCTGGATGCAGGGCGAGTATTCGCGCGAGGGGCCATCGGGAAGTCGGGGTGATCTCCGAACGGATGAGGCAAAATGTTCCGACCTCCGGAACGGGCTCGGAGTTGAGCCATTTTGATCGAGGTGCCAAGGCGTGGACATACTCCTGAGACCATCGCTGCCAGAAGTGGTCACGCATTCGTTGCAGCAGCTGCCACCGGGATAGGGCGTTCGGAGACCGTTCGGCTAGGGAAGGCTCTGGGACCGCCAGTAGAGGAGCGCCTATTAGGAGATGCCCTGGAGTCAATGCGGTGATGTCGTCGGGGTCATCTGATAAAGCCTGCAATGGACGAGAATTTAAACATGCTTCGATTTGTGAAAGAAGAGTACTCATCTTCTCGAAGATGAGCGTAGTCTCTCCTATCACCCGTCGCAGGTGATGTTTCATGGATTTCACTGCCGCTTCCCAGAGGCCTCCGAAGTGCGGCGCGGCGGGAGGATTGAAGCGCCAGGATATTCCTTCCTTGGCGACTTCCCGAGAGATGCGACGGCCGTCGGAGGACGACGCGCGGAAGAATTCTCGGAGTTGGTTGTCCGCTCCGATGAAGTTAGTTCCGCAGTCCGAGTACATTTCCTCGCACAGTCCGCGACGGGAAACGAACCTGCGGAATGCTGCGAGGAAGGCGTCAGAGGAGTAGTCAGATACTACCTCAAGATGGACGGCTCTGGAACAGAGACAGACGAACACGGCTATGAACGCCTTGTGAGCTCGATGTCCTCGCCCCTTGGAAGTGCGGAGGAATATCGGGCCAGCGTAATCGACTCCTGTCCTCAGGAAAGGGCGTGCTGGAGTGACTCGCCCCCGAGGGAGGTCGGCCATGAGGGGCCGTGGAGTGTGGGCTCGCCAGCGGGTGCATGTCACGCACCGGTGCAGTGTCCGCTTGATTACGGCTCGACCTTGCGACACCCAGAAGCGGAGGCGAAGGAGCCCCAAAGTGAGCTGAGTGCCTCCATGAAGCGTCCGGCGGTGGCAAGACTCTATCACGAGCTTGGTGAGCCATGAAGTGGGCGGCGCTATCATAGGATGTCGTTCATCGTACGTGAGTATTGCGTGTTTCAGGCGGCCGCCGACGCGCAGGATCCCGTCATCGTCGATGAATGGATGCAGCCTGGCCAGGTGGCTACCGCGAGGCACTAGGCGAGACTCTCGTACGGCGGTTAGTTCAACGGCGTAGTGGATCCCTTGGACGATTCTCAGCCAGCGAATGAGGGAGGCGTCGAGCTCGTCCGAGAGCAGTGCGACGCTGGGAGGATGACGAGCGGTCCGACGCCAACGAAGGCACCAAGCAGAGACACGTAAGAGCCTATGCAGTGTCGAGAACTGTAGGAGTATTTCAGGCTCCGGTCTGATCTTGCTGATGGCCGTTAATACCGTGGTTTTTGTTTCAGGAACGCTGACCATTGATGCCTCGTCGCTGGCTGGCCATAGTGACGAGTCGCCGAGAAGCCAGCCGGGGCCCTGCCACCATAGGGGGTGGTTCAGCAGATCCCTCGGAGCGATCCCTCTGGAAGCACAATCGGCAGGATTCTCTTGACCCGGGACGTGTCGCCACTGCGCTTCGGGGAGCCGCTTCTGGATCAGCGACACTCTATTGGCCACGTAGGTTTTCCATCGTGAAGCATGACCCTTGATCCAGTGGAGGACAACCTTGGAGTCGGACCAGAGATATACTGGCGCCGACACCTCCAGTGATGACCGGAGGTGGTGAACGAGATTGGTCAGCAGGGAGGCAGCGCAGAGTTCCAGCCGTGGGAGCGTCACGGGCTTAATCGGCGCGACCTTGCTTTTCGCGGCCAGTAAGTGGATGGACGTCTCTTCCGTACTGGACACGCGAAGGTAGACGACGGCCGCGTATCCACGCTCAGACGCGTCGGCGAAGCCGTGGATCTCGACCGTCGGATCCTGTTGAATGACACCCAGCCAGCGCCTTATTCGGAGGTGCTCCAGCAAATGGAGCTCGGAGAGGAGGCGCTGCCAAGACTGAGCGTCCTCCGCTGGGAGCGGAGAGTCCCAGTCCAGCCTTTTCAACCATGCTGACTGGATTAAGATCTTGGCGCGGATGATCACAGGAGCGAGCCATCCCAAGGGGTCGAATAGCCGTGCCGTTTCCGCCAGGACTCGCCTCTTAGTGAATTCGCCAGTGCTTCGAGGCTGGATGGCGAAGGAGAAGTCGTCGCTGGCTGGATGCCAACGCAGGCCTAAGGTGGAGTGTACCTCGCTCTCCCAGGAATGGTGTGCCTGTTTGAGTCGATAATCGGGAGGAACACCCTCAAGGATGGCCTCGCTATTGGCGGCCCATTTCCGCAGCGGAAACCCGCCCGCCGTGCAGAGCTCTCGGAGCTCCGTCTGCAGGGCGACCGCGTGCTGCAAGGTGTCCGACCCGGTGATCACGTCGTCCATGTAGCAGTCATGGCGCAGAGCGGTTGCTCCCTTTGGGGCTCGTGCCTCCTCGTCGGCCGCCAATTGGTGGAGAGTGCGGACAGCGAGGAACGGAGCACAGGCGAGCCCGTAGGTCACGGTGTTCAGCTCGTACTCTTGGATCTTGCCGGAAGCCTTTGGACGCCAGAGTATCCGCTGGAAGCGACGATCTTCAGGGTGGACGAGTATCTGCCGGAACATCTTCTCGATGTCGGTGACGAACACGAAGCGGTGCCGGCGCCAGCGAAGGAGGACATCAGCTAGTGCTGGCAGCAAGTTGGCGCCGATCAGCAGATGTCGGTTGAGGGAGTCCCCCGAGGCGGTACGTTGCGACCCGTTGAAGACGACGCGGAGCTTGCTGCAGGAGTTGGACTGGCGGAGGACTCCGTGGTGAGGTAGGTAGCATCCTGCGGTACCGACCGTATTCACAGGACTCATGTGTTTCAGGTCCTCGTACTCCTGCATAAACTCCCGATACCGGACGCCGAACTCAGGATCTCTCTTGCTCCGAAGGTCCATCGCTGACAAGAGACTTTCAGCCGGTTTACGGGTTCCACCAAGCGACGTTGGCGGGGAAGAAAACGGGAGTCGTACTACGTATCTTCCGGACGCCATTCGCTGGTGAGTACTTATGAAGAGGGTCTCGCACTCTTGATCCTCCGGTCTAAGGGCAACGGAGGAGGGGAGTTCCCTTTCCTGCTCCCAAAAGCTGTGCACAAGCTGATTGAGCTCTTGGTCGACAGTGCACTGCAAGGAGTTACGGGGTCCTTGGAAGGGTGCTGCGCTGGACCCCCCTGACAGGATCCATCCCAGGGCTGTTTTCTGGGCGATGGGATCTTGAGGACTACCCTTGCGAAGGCCGACCTCAAGGATGGTTGAGCAGACTTCCGCGCCCAACAATAGTTCTACCGGATCGAGCTCCTGATACCTGGGGTCGGCGAGCTCAAGACCATGAACGTGAGGCCAGGAGGGGAGGTTCTTCACCGAAGAACCCTAATAGGCCGACAGGCGCGGTAACACGAAGGCGACGGCCTTGAGTTTGGCTCCGGTGATCATCGAGGAGAGACTGAGTGCCACTCTCCCGCGGGTTGACCCGGATCGTGATTCGCCGATGCCGATTATGGACACTGAGGAGCGGGAGCGGGGAAGTCTCAGCCGTTGGACCAGTGCTTCGGAGATGATCGACACCTCGGATCCTTGATCGAGCATCGCTCGGACCGGATGAAGATCCCCGGCGCGGTCAGTGAGGTGCACGCGAGCTGTCGCGAGGAGGATCGCTTTACGCTCAGACGAGGAGTGCATCGCAGACAGGGCGTTCACCTCGTTGGAGGAGGGCGATGTGTACGCGTCGTGCAGTGTAGTGTGGTGCTTGCCCTTGCACGTCAGACAGGTCTTCACAGACTGGCACTTGGAGATCATGTGGTTCCCGAGACAGTTGTAGCACAGTCTACCTTGCTCTACAAAGGACTTTCGGTCTATCGCGGACTTCGCCTTGAAGTCGTTACACTGCATGAGGGGTGTGCTTCCCCTGGCACAGTGCGCACTTCAAGTGATCGGATCCGGTCTTCGTGTGGTGAGCTTTCGCGGTTCGCGACGCGCCATCGGAGTTTGGTTGCAATACTCGTGGCCTAGCGGCGTTTAGCGTGAGAATGCGCTTAGCGATGAAGTTGACGAGAGCGCCGTGGTCTGGCGGATCAGTGGAGTCGCAGGTCGAGGACTCCCATTCCATCCGTGTACGCGAATCGAACAATTCGACGGTGAGAAAATTGAGGAGATCCATACCGTGGGAGTTGATGGGTCTCCCTATACTCTCCTGCGCGTTCACCGCGGTCGTTACGGCGTTGTGAATGCGACCGAGTTCTCCCGCTGACTCGCACTTCATTTTGGGAATGGAGGTGAACGCGGCGAAATTAGAACGGATAAGCTCCCTCTTGTTCTCGAAGTGCTTGCACAAAATCGTCCAAGCGCGATGGTAATTATCACCGGTCACCGTTAATGATTTTATCAATTTTTCAGCGGCTCCCTTGACACAAGACCGGAGGTAGTGAAATCGCTCGATGTCGGAGACGGACTCATTCGCCCCGATGACTGATTGGAAGAGGTCGCGGAATGACGGCCATTCTTCGTAAGATCCCGCAAACGTCGGAAGCTTGATGCGCGGCAAGGAGGTTTTAGGAGCCCGATCGTGGTCCGGCTCGCCTCGGAGCGCGGCGGGCGTCTCGCCCTTAAGCTTCTCAGCGTAGCTGGTCAGCGTGCTACGTTGTGTCACGTAAGTATTCTCCGCGACTTCAATAAAATCAGATACAGCGTACTCACTCTCCTGATACTTGTCCTTCAGCGCCGCACGAATGAGCTCATGCTGGGTCTCCATTTTTTGCCAGAGATTGTCCAGGATGCCGAGGCGAGCTTGGATGGCGTCGCGGGTGATGTTGCTCACGCCCATCTTCCTCAGATTGTCCACGGCGCGGGAGATCCGACCATGAATGTCGTGCTGCGCTTCCAGCAGCACCTTCACTTCAGCACTCATGTCTAATATCTCTTTTGTCTTTTCAGAGGTCACTTCACTCCACAAACTGCACGAGAGGATCACTCACGAAACAGCGGACGCGGATGATGGAATCCGGCTCGAAGGACCAGAAATGTTCGCGAGCGGATCCGGCAAGAGATTGCGCGAACGTGGAGGATAGGCCAGTGCAGTGAAACTCGTGATATTCACACAAAACGACAGTTTATTAGAGTTCAACGTGACAAGTGTACAGTGCAACGAGCGGTGCGACAAGCGAAGCGGTTAAACTCGCGGGAGATCGCGAGCGGCGTGATAGATCGAGCGTGCGGAAAATCAAAGTCCGAGAAGAATAGCGGTTGACGTATAATATTTTGCGGTTTAACTGAGCGGTAAGATTAAGCGGTATAGAAAGCGAAAAGTGCGAGACTTCGCCGTGCCCTCTCGCTGGGCTCGTTATATACCGGGCGGATTTTGGGCCCCGTTGCGACGTGGCCCAATTAACTTTGAAATTTGGCGGTGACCTCATGGCGCCACGCATAATTGGCCGCCGATGAGGTCAGGAAACAGCGTTGTGGCGTTTGCCATGCGCACGACCTTTTTCGATCAGCTGATTGGCCATCAGCTGATCGTGACGTATGGGCGCGCATGCCCGTATGTTGTTTTAGTTTGACGGCGGTTGACAATGTTATTGTCAATCGCTCAATTTCAAGCGTTTTTATGCGGTACAAAAACGAGCGGTGACTCGAACGTTCGAGTTCTTGTTTACCGAACGAAAGCTCGAGAAAGTTCTCGACGCCCGTTAGATTTGAAATACGGATTTTAGCAACGCGAAATTTTACATGAGATAATCGATTACGCATTTCGAACAAATATCTATACCCAAAGAATCTTTTTCGGTATATTTTTTTTGTATCAGATAACTAAATTAGCGTTTATATTCAAAATATTTTAAAAAAATTATAAATTTTATATAATGTAGCGTTTTACAACTGTTCGTAAGACGCTTTTACATCATCCACAAGGTGCTAACGTTTTGACAGCTGCAGAAGACATATTTACAGAATGTCATAGACGAAGTCTTATAAGAATAGTAACTTCTGAATTAGTAACGACACACAAATATAACTAGTAAGTTTTGTATCTATGAAATTAACTTGTATTCAATTAAGTTTATATTTCTATGAAATTTTGTAAAATTGTCTTGCAGCTATCCACCTGAAGAAGCCAAAATAGCTCTTGCCAAAAGTATTGTAACAGAATTTCCAAAATTACGTGACCGCGAAACAACTAAAGGATATGTAAGAAAAAATTCACAAATTATTTTTTATTTTTTTAAAACTATTTAATATATTTTTCTGTATAACTATTATATAAAATGAATTATTTATCTTCTTTTTTTACAATTTTAAGGAACTTTACTATGATCCATCTACTAAAAGAGGTTTTATTGAATATCGTCTTTGGACAATTCGAAAAAATATTTCACCTGCCAAGAAAAAATATACTGCAAAAAAAAGAAAAATGAATACAGGTCAACCTTTATTTTCTGCAGAAAGTTCAGATGAGGAAAAAGATGATTTGCTTTCTCAAGATTTGTATGAAGAAAAAGTGCGTTATGATACTTCTTTGTATACTAATAATTTTTTCTAAATTACACAAATAATTTATTTTAATGATAAATATGACATATAGAAAAAAATTATCTTTTCTTCTTTTAATTTTCTACATTTTTATTTGATATATCAGATTTCATGGATGAAATTAAAGATACCGTCTGAAACGAATAAATTTTCAAATATCAAAATATCAAAATGTATGAACATTACTATGAAAAATCGAAGAAAATGGATTTTAGAAAATCTTCCTACAATAGATGAAATATTTGATCAATTTCCTCGATTAGCTGATTATTCTGGTCAAATGGTGAGTAATAATGCTTTGACTTCATATTTATATTAAACAGAAACACATATTTTATTTTATTTTTTTTATATTTTTAACATTCAGAATTTATGTATTTATAATAAGTATATTTCATTTCACTTTATTTTTATGTTTTTGATTACAGATTGATGAGGAATTCGACAGATTGTACAGCGGAGCTTCTGATAACTTTTTAACAAGATTTTCTCCATATTATGTTCCTAGAATTCTTACATACTGCAAGACAGTGAGACAAGATTTATATAGAGTTTCAAATTTTATTGAAGAAGGTATAGTTTAACTCTTACTTCAGTTTTTTTAAAATATTTTACATTATTTACATGTATATTAAAATACTAATCGCAATTATTTTATTTTATTTTATAGAAAATCTTCGTGCCATATTACTTCTAGCGCATTTACTCCCTGTGTCTAATTCATTGAGAAAGGGGAAAGGAAAAAAGAAGGGTGTAACTTCAAAGAAAGTAAATATTTTGTATTTGAATATATTATATAATTTATATTATAATTCATTTATCAATATACATAATTATTGGAAAAGTGTGGCTTTATTTTTAAATTTAATTGAATAGAATTTAATTTCAAATTATTGAAATCACTTAGAGTGCTAATAAAGAAAATATGAGGAAAGAAGATTACGAGGATGTATATTCTACTACATTTCCTAATTCTTCTTTAATACAAATTTGGCCTGTAAGTTTTTGTAAATATTCATTTTCATACTTTTTTATAATCTCTTATATGTAATACAAAATATAATTATTCTTTTTCATAGGACGGATGTAACATAGAGACCAAAATTCAGGAAGTAAGAAAGAAGGCACAAGGTCCAATTCAGCCTTATATTATATTAATTAAAGGATAATTAACTTATTTTGTTCAGACTGATAATGTTACATTGATTCCAAGTATCAACTCGCCAATCATAGCACTTGATTTATTATTTAAGGTATATTACGTTTTAAATGTTACATATCCTACAACACTACTTTTTTAGTTTCTTAGAGCATTATTGTTTTAAAATTTCATCTGAAAAAGCACATGCTTTTGTATCCTCTACTCATATTAATATTTGTAATACTACACCAATATCAAATGTGATAGATAACACATCAAATATATAAATTTATTCAACAGTTTAATTTTATTTCATGAAATAAATATTTATGATAGTTGTTTGCAAAATAAATTTATGGAAAAAAATTAATTTATCATTACAATTTATGTTGTTTCTCTTAATAATTATTTTTGTTTAAAATGATAGACATAGTTTGCATTTTATATAATTTAATGCATCAATTTTTCATTTATTTGATATACTAGTATCATTTATATATAACATTCATATAGTATATAACATTCATTTATTTAGTATATCATATAATTTCTTTGTTTCAATTTTCTTTGTATATGTTGAAAATAGTTTTCAACTTATAAAAATAATAATATAATATATGCCCATATTATATATTTATGTATGTGTATAAATTATTGTATTATATATACATATATAATGTAAAATTAAGTAATGTACATTAAATTTTATATTATATATAGCAAATTAAAATAAATGCATTATATCAGCAACTGAAACTACCTGTTCATATTCACTGTTGTAGTAGTTAAGATTTACTGATTAAAGCAGTACATATCACTAATTGTACTGTGTATAGCAACTATTTTTCTGCAGTCAAATATCACTGCTCGAAACAGTTACTGCAGTCAACTGATTTCATCAGCAGTATTTTACTAGTTTGCAGTGCTATACTTATAACTATGGTCATCAGTGACAATTCACTGTTGTACAGTCAAAATACACTGATTGACTTTAAGAGAGTAAGTCGTAAGTCGTAGAAGATGGAATTTAGCCAATTGCTTACGATCGTTGATTACAAACTTGCGATTGCTTTACACACACTTACAACTTGCTTTCAACTCATTCCGACATCTGATTAACAAGTCATTGTAT